GATACCCAAAATACTCTGCAGAAATAAACAGCATGATAACTATCTCATTCCAGTGGGTACCTCATTGAAATGCGGGTGGGTTTTGAGCCTCTCACGGCACGCACAAGTGATTTGTGCAGCTCTGATGATTGATTTGAGGTGAGGACTCTTTGGCTTCATGCAGAGCTCTCCCTTTCGCTTGTGCTGGTCATAGCCAGTCCGGGGGAGCAAGAGGGCTGCTTATATTTCTTACCTGCCAGCCTGTCTGTGAAGACCACACAGGGCTCAGAGCCTGCCCATGTCTGTACAGAGGGGACGTGCAGGGGAAGCAGAGCATCGGTCCACCCTCTCGCTCTGCAGCCCTGGCCCCCGCCATGCCCGTGAGTTCCTCCTGCCCAGCCCTGGGGAAGGGCGGAGGTAAAACCCTGCCCCTTCAGCAGTCTGGTTGCAGAGAAGATCCCTCACGAGAGACTCCCAGCCTCATCAAAATTCTAATAAAATACAAATTGGGTAGGAGCTGCACTAATAATTGTATTTACTTGGACCCTCGGAGGTTTGTGTTGATTGCACTGGCCATGCTAACTGGGAGGAGAAAAAGTCCAGAGGACTGTCTTTTTCTCTCTTGCTCCTCACCTACCCTAACTGGAAAATCTGAACATATTTCCCTAATGTGTAACTTTTCCTGGATTTTATTTCCCATCAAATTGTATGAAAAGAAGGAAATTAGCCAAATATTTTTACGCTAGAGTTCTGGACAGACAGATTGAATTCGTGTAATAGCGGCATGGACTCTCTAAAAAGGAATCAATGCAAGCATGACCTTTTTGGGTGAGTCGCCAAATTCTGGGTTATTTAATGTACATTACTTGATTATTGGAAGTGCTAATCAGCAACATAATCCTTGATGTTGAAGTGTAGTCTCTCCATCAGGATGTGGACTGTCAAGCTGTTCTAGCTTGATGCAATTTGAAGAACCAGCAAAAGATGTCTCAGTGCCAAAGTCCTACTATGATAAAGAAATGAAACTCGGAAGAATATTCTGTTGAGTGTTATTTTTTCGAGTTTGAGCAATGTGAGTTTCTAAAATCAGCAGTGTTAGTGTTGCCTGCCTACATGCTTTATGTCCAGGCGGGATCAGTTTTAACCTCCCGTTTTGGTGTCAAGATTTCCTAAAGCAAATAAATGAAAACATTAAGGTCTGCTTGGATTTAACATGATAGTTATGGTAAGCTAAATTAGAAAATTAAGTGGCACATGCTAAACTCACAACTAGCTTCTGTGTGTGTGTGTTGACTAATCCTATGTTAGAGGCAAAGGGGTAAGAAAAGGAAGGAGCGTTTCTGCTGGTGTCAGCAGAATTTCTCCCAGAAGTAATGGAAATAGTAGGATTATGGCCACCTACAGAGCCAACCCGTATGTCCTTGGGTCAGCATCTGCTGAGTTATAGGCCCAAACCTCCAGCTGCCTAGTCCATACATTGTAGTCGTAAAAATATACAGCATGCAGAACGCTCCAGTTCAGAGCAGAAGTAAAATATATCCCACTGTGAGCTCTCTTGCCCATAATGGTCCAGCACAAGATTTCCTGCTCTGGTCAGGATTCCTGAGGCAAGGGGCATAGCTATTAACCTCCCTTTCTGCCTTAAGAGTTTTTATCACTCTCCTGTCATTGCAGCATCTATCTACCAGCATCTTTGCTGTGCCCTGCTTGCTATGATCAGGACAGACTTTGACCTTAAAGGTATACTTGAAAACAGATTTTCTATATTTAAAGACATTTTTATGCTAGTCGTATTCTTTGACACAGTACTATAGGCCAGAGCCTTAGCTAATTTTAACTGGATATAGTTCCACTATAACTAATTTACATCAGGAGAGTAATTGGACTCATACACTTAACACGTACTCTTCTGATTCAGAAGTTTTCCTTCACCTGGCTTCTTATGAGCCTACAGAATTTTTCCATTTATCCAAAGGGGGAGAGGAGAGACTGTTAACACCACAAAGCCTTAAACACATTTGCTTGGAAGTGAAGCTTTGCCCTTGAGAGCTGCCTGGCTCTAGCAGCGTGATCTTACGTTTCAAAATTGCCTGTGTAGCTTCTCAGATATATTAAACCAGAAAAAGGATTTCCCAGAAAAAGAAAGAAAGAAAGAAAGAAAGAAAGAAAGAAAGAAAGAAAGAAAGAAAGAAAGAAAGAAAGAAAAAGAAAGAAAGAAAGAAAGAAAGAAAGAAAGAAAGAAAGAAAGAAAGAAAGAAAGAAAGAAAGAAAGAAAGAAAGAAAGAAAGAAAGAAAGAAAGAAAGAAAAGAAAAGAAAGAGTCTCAAAATGGTGAAGTATAAAATGACATACTTCCAGAGTGGATTTT